ATAAATAAAACTCAAATAGTTGTCCCTTCGCGCTTGCCGTCGTTGTTCTGCGCAAGCGCAGAAAATGTGTTAGCGAGCACACGGAACAGGTTGTACTCCGGCTTTCCTTTTGGATATTTTTGTTTTGTTTTACCTGGACTTTTTCATAGGATAACCTAACAGTAAGTTCTTCTCCCGAGGATGTAATCCTCTTTGTGAACAATCGTAATTTCCCTGAAACGGAACAGTTTCAAGCCGAGCTCCTGTTAACTTTAGCTAACAATTTAGCATCGGCTAAAAAGCTAGCAAGTCTGTTTTACCTTTTTAATTGCTTGTGATAAACTAAAACTTCACTTGTTGTGTCAACGGGGTGCGTCTTGAGCTTATTGTAGATATATGTGTGGGGCTGTGGGCAGCAGAAATAATAGTTTGTCTTATTATTTGCCATTGGAAAAATGCTGTTGCATCATTTTCCCTCAGCTAACAGTTTTAGCCTTTTCAAGGTTGACGCTTGTTTCACAAAGAGCTTTCTGACGTGCGAATCGTTTAAACGATTATTTTAATTTATCCAACAGGTTAAAGGGTTGAAAGTGAAGGAGTTGACCCACAATGTCCAGCAATGTAAGTTATTATTATTATTATTTTTGCTCTTGAATAGCTTAAATAGCTACTAGCGGCCGAACTAACTCATGGATGGTACAGAAARAGAAAAGCACACATAAAACAGATCCATTGTCATAATTATTGTTTATTTATAGCTTTTATTACAACATTTACCTTTTTATTTTAAAATAAGAGTTGATTCAATCAACCTTTTTTGAAGTAGCACTTTTCAAACAGTGAAATGTAACAAACCAAAACAACTCGAGCTAAAAACAAGCAGAAACACAGAAGCTGTGTTTACATTGTCCAGTCTCTTGTTTCTTCCTGTAGGTGCTGTGTGGGCGAAGCAGGTTGGTGTTATCTCAGGCTGCCAGACACCAGGCTTTAGCTTCTCTCAGGGTGACCAGAACCAGAACTTTCTCCACTGCACACCCAGATGAGACGTACGTGGACGTGTCGCCTGCATACTCAGGTGAGTCTAATTATCAACCAGAAAACAGAAAAGTGGAAAAAAGTTGTAAAAAGTCCCAGGAATGTCTTATGGTGTCGCCTCAGGACCGAGGACAGTGTGGCCGGACGAGAACATGGGGCCCTTCGGACCTCAGGACCAGCGCTTCCAGCTGCCGGGGAACGCCGGGTTCGACTGCCACCTGGAAGGTATGGCGGGCCAGAAGAAGGCTCCGCTCCGCAGGACGATGCCCGACGTGCTGACTGCTCCGAGCAGGGTTGAGAGACACCAGTTCATCCTGGCCCAGTTCGTCAGCGAGTTCCACGTACGGTTTGATGAGTTTGTCGTGGGTTTAATCAAATATCTCAGGTTCTGTAATCCCTGTTTGTGAAATCTTAGCTCCATTCTGAGGCCAAATTCTGTGTTTTTTACAGGGAAAACTGGGTCCCCTGTCCACCAGAGTCCACAAAGCTGAGCAGTACTTTAAACCCACAGACACGGACTGTTCCATCACGTCCTGTCCTGAGCTGCTGAAGAAAGGTAGGAGCTGCTTCCATCACACAAACCTTTTAAAGGGATCCATGATTAGTTGTAACATTAGACTTTATTTAATCAACATTTATTTTAACTGTAAAATAAAGACTGTAAAAATACTGTAGGCTGTTTAGTTTTTATACATTTTAAAAATATATTTTAAAGGCACAGTGTGTAGGATTTTGTCAATACTTTTAGCCG